CTCAGTACTCACGACAGCATCCGCAGTTGTAGTGGCTGCAACGGGCCCCGCAGTAGTAGTGGCTGCAACGGGCTCCGCAGTAGTAGTGGCTGCAACGGGCTCCGCAGTAGTAGTAGCTGCAACGGGCTCCGCAGTAGTAGCGGCGGCGACCTCCTCAGTCGTAGTAGCAGCGGCGACCTCCTCAGTCGTAGTAGCGGCGGCGACCTCCTCAGTCGTAGTAGCGGCGGCGACCTCCTCAGTCGTAGTAGCGGCGGCGACCTCCTCAGTCGTAGTAGCGGCGGCGACCTCCTCAGTCGTAGTAGCGGCGGCAACCTCCTGAGTCGTAGTAGCGGCGGCAACCTCCTCAGTCGTAGTAGCGGTGTTGCCCCCCTCAGTGGTGGTGACCGGAAACGTTGACTGTGCAGTGGAACCTTCAGAGTTACCGCTGGTGGTGCTAACAAGTCCAGTCGTGGACGTAGACACGGGCATAGAGGAAAGCGTGGTCATAGACGGCACTGACATACTTGACCAGTTCTCACAGGCGCAGGGCATCATTGAAGGACCATCAAGAGACAGGCAGACACCGTTTGGGTGATCACAGGTCGCACCGCTGTAACCAGTGAAGATTCGGCAAGCGAAGTCACCGAGAGAGCAGCCTTCACGCTGGGCGTACGAACCCATGCCGAGGACTGCGAAGGTTAAAACGGTGAACATGATCGAAAGCACTATAGAGAACTAAGTAAAGCACGAGGGGTGGATGGGTGAGTTGGTAGCAGTTGGCAAAGGCCCGATTAAGTGTTTGACACATCGTATGCTGCTCACCTGCGGTGCGAATCCGAAACGGCCAGGAAGTATCCGGAACGGTTTGCGCAGAGCGTTTCAAGTGAGCAAGCCGAGATGTGTGGCGAGCAGCTCAGCAACCAAGTCCTCTGGGGCCTATTTCAAAATTCTCTTTAAAGAAGAGCTTCTTGAGGTTTAAGAAGCTCTTTAAAGAAGGAGCTCAGGAACCATAACGGATTTCAAAATTTTGAGCTTCCTTCAAGAGGACCTCTTGAATCTCAGGAAGCCTTCCTGAAGGTCTTGAAAGGAAATTCGAGGCGACGTGGGACTTGACGCACGTGGGATTCGAACCCGGGACCAATAACCCACGTTGTGTTATGTCGCAGCCTACACGGTGAAGGCTTCATAGTGCGCAGGCTACACCCTATGAAGTTCATAATATGAACTACATACTAATATCGCTCATTCCATAATCTTCGTTGAATGGATAGTGTTGATATACCCGAAGACTTGGCCGCCAAGTCTTGGGGTAGCCCGGGGTAGGAGTTCGTAGTTCACCCTCCATCATAGTGCCTTCGTGTGTGTGGCTCTCTCGCTACCGTGCGAGGCAAGGCGGGAGTACTAACAAGTCGGACAAGTCGAAAGAGTGTATCGTTACCGATGACTAATCAGCGCACAATTTTTTTGCTAGTTTGGTCGGCTGGTTGGGCCATCTGGCTTACACGCTCGAGGTCGCGGGTTCGATTCGAGGGTACAACATCGCCCGTGGTTAGAGACACTTTGTCGAGCTTTGCGGCCGACTTGTACAGAGACCACCGGATGAAGCGTCAAAACTTCTCTTTAACCTACCCCCGGGTAGGTTAAGTTTCTTGAAACGAGAAGTTCATGAAGATCAGATTTTTGAAATAGGTTATGACCTTCTTGAAGCTTCTTACGCATTTTAGCGTGTGAAAACGAGGTTCCTACAGGAAGCCTTCCTTAATGAATGGCTCCTTTAAGAAGGGTTCTTGAACCTCAAGAAGCTGATGGTTTAAAGAATCCTTCTTGAGGTTCTTAAAGGAGGATTTTGAAAGCCGTTAAGGCAAAATTTGGCGGTTTCACACGCAAGAAGCTCAAGAATGCTTCTTTAAAGAGAATTTTGAAATAGGCCCCTGTTGTTGGACCATTTATGGCGTTCTTCACCTGAGTGGGCTTAGAATGCAATTTAATCGGCCCTGGTGCATAGCATACTAGGAAAGCCCAACGCAACTTCCCTCACTCAAGGCCACGGCGGAAAGTCAAATTCCGTGTGGTGTTTGTTTTCTCGGCAACGTCTGCGCCGCCACGCGGTTGCGCGTGTGCTGATCACGGTTGAATGTTATTGACTGTAACATGACAAGCAAGAAAACTAGAGAGAGGAACTTAGACAGCAAATCTACAGCAGTGGTAGCACTACAAACTTTGTAGTGATACTGGAGGGGAGGGACGAAATTTTGTGACTTATAGGCCGCAAGTATGCGGAAAAAACATCCGAATACGCCTCCAAAGTTTGAGTCGCTATCGTCTAGTGGTTAGGACGTCACGTTGTGGCCGTGACAACCCCGGTTCAAATCCGGGTAGCGACTAATATTATATAGTTGAGGTAGTCTTGTCAAACTTCAATCAGCACTTGCATAACAGCTGCGAGATTCGAACTCGCGCCCTTTCGGACTAGCGCCTGAAGCTAGCGCCTTAGACCACTCGGCCAAACTGTCGATACTGCTACAGGTTTGAAAGTAGGCTTGTCGCTGAACATAGCGATAAAAGCTCGGGGCATGCCCCTTACGAGAGGCAATTCCCTTTCCTTGCAAGCTCGAAGTCAACTGCGGCGGTTCGCCTAAGCCGGAGTTGCGAAAAACTGGTGATTCCGGGATTCCTGCGGCTCAAGTACGCTTCGAGCGTTAGCTGAAAATACAGGAACGACCTGCAATCCATCTGTCTTGTCGGTCTTCCACATGAATGACACCGTTCTTCAGGAGACGTTTTACCTGCCCCTCTCGCCTTGAAGAAGAGACATGCCTCTGGGAAAAGCTTCCGAGTGCAACGCAGAATTTTCATGCAAGAAAATTCTTCGGAGGAACTCACTTAATTGTAGCAGCGAGGAGGCTGCTTGCAACAAACTTTGTAGTGATACTGGATGGGAGGGACGAAATTTTGTGACTTATAGGCCGCAAGTATGCGGAAAAAACATCCGAATACGCCTCCAAATTTGAGTCGCTATCGTCTAGCGGTTAGGACGTCACGTTGTGGCCGTGACAACCCCGGTTCAAATCCGGGTAGCGACTAATATTATATAGTTGAGGTAGTCTTGTCAAACTTCAATCAGCACTTGCATAACAGCTGCGAGATTCGAACTCGCGCCCTTAACGGACTAGCGCCTGAAGCTAGCGCCTTAGACCACTCGGCCAAACTGTCGATACTGCTACAGGTTTGAAAGTAGGCTTGTCGCTGAACATAGCGATAAAAGCTCGGGGCATGCCCCTTACGAGAGGCAATTCCCTTTCCTTGCAAGCTCGAAGTCAACTGCGGCGGTTCGCCTAAGCCGGAGTTGCGAAAAACTGGTGATTCCGGGATTCCTGCGGCTCAAGTACGCTTCGAGCGTTAGCTGAAAATACAGGAACGACCTGCAATCCATCTGTCTTGTCGGTCTTCCACATGAATGACACCGTTCTTCAGGAGACGTTTTACCTGCCCCTCTCGCCTTGAAGAAGAGACATGCCTCTGGGAAAAGCTTCCGAGTGCAACGCAGAATTTTCATGCAAGAAAATTCTTCGGAGGAACTCACTTAATTGTAGCAGCGAGGAGGCTGCTTGCAACAAACTTTGTAGTGATACTGGATGGGAGGGACGAAATTTTGTGACTTATAGGCCGCAAGTATGCGAGAAAACATCCGAATACGCCTGGATAGTTGAGTCGCTATCGTCTAGTGGTTAGGACGTCACGTTGTGGCCGTGGCACCCCCGGTTCTAACCCGGGTAGCGACTAATATTATATAGTTAAGGTAGTCTTGTCAAAATTCAATCAGTACTTGCATAACAGCTGCGAGTTTCGAACTCGCGCGCTTTCGGACTAGCGCCTGAAGCTAGCGCCTTAGACCACTCGGCCAAACTGTCGATAATGACAGAGGTTTAAATAGACTTGTCGCTGAACATAGCGATAAAAGCTCGGGGCATGCCCCTTACGAGAGACAATTCCCTTTCCTCGCAAGCTCGAAGTCAACTGAGGCAGTTCGCCTGAGCCGGAGTTGCGAAAAACTGGTGATTTTAGGATCCCTGCGGCTCAAGTACGTTTCGAGCGTTAGCTGAAAATACAGGAACGCCCTGCGATCCATCTGTCTTGTCGGTCTTCCACATGAATGACACCGTTCTTTTGGGGACGTGTTGCCTGCCCCTCTCGCCTTGAAGGAGACATGCCTCTGGGAAAAGCTTCCGAGTGCAACGCAGAATTTTCGTGACTTATAGGCCGCAAGTATGCGGAAAAAACATCCGAATACGCCTCCAAAGTTGAGTCGCTATCGTCTAGTGGTTAGGACGTCACGTTGTGGCCGTGACAACCCCGGTTCAAATCCGGGTAGCGACTAATATTATATAGTTGAGGTAGTCTTGTCAAACTTCAATCAGCACTTGCATAACAGCTGCGAGATTCGAACTCGCGCCCTTTCGGACTAGCGCCTGAAGCTAGCGCCTTAGACCACTCGGCCAAACTGTCGATACTGCTATAGGTTTGAAAGTAGGCTTGTCGCTGAACATAGCGATAAAAGCTCGGGGCATGCCCCTTACGAGAGGCAATTCCCTTTCCTTGCAAGCTCGAAGTCAACTGCGGCGGTTCGCCTAAGCCGGAGTTGCGAAAAACTGGTGATTCCGGGATTCCTGCAGCTCAAGTACGCTTCGAGCGTTAGCTGAAAATACAGGAACGACCTGCAATCCATCTGTCTTGTCGGTCTTCCACATGAATGACACCGTTCTTCAGGAGACGTTTTACCTGCCCCTCTCGCCTTGAAGAAGAGACATGCCTCTGGGAAAAGCTTCCGAGTGCAACGCAGAATTTTCGTGACTTATAGGCCGCAAGTATGCGGAAAAAACATCCGAATACGCCTCCAAAGTTGAGTCGCTATCGTCTAGTGGTTAGGACGTCACGTTGTGGCCGTGACAACCCCGGTTCAAATCCGGGTAGCGACTAATATTATATAGTTGAGGTAGTCTTGTCAAACTTCAATCAGCACTTGCATAACAGCTGCGAGATTCGAACTCGCGCCCTTTCGGACTAACGCCTTAGGCTAACGCCTTTGACCCCTTGGCCATAACTAGTCGGCCAGGGTTTGGCCAGGCCGAAGGCCTGGCCAACCCCTGGCCGACTCTAGGATTCGGCCAGTAGTCGGCCAGGGGTCGAGTGCTAGTCGGCCAGGGCATACCGATTATGCGCTATCCTTACAACTTGCAAGTAATTTGTGACGCTGTAGTCCGCCTCGACCTTCTGTCTCGTTGCTCGAAAGAAAATGAAGAAAAAATTCCCTTTCCCGTTGATTCATTCTTGTTATCAGTGATATTGATTTCAAGCTCATCTTCATGCCGAATCCTATGCTCCTGGGCCTGGAATCCTGCTTTACTTTGCTCGAGTGCACAGCGCTGAGAGGAGATAGTCTCAGATAGATACGTATGGACCCCGTAAGGGTGGCTTCTGATAACAGGATCTTGGATTACTGTAATGTCCGGGGGATGAGGTATGGGGTGGTGTGGGAACGGGGGTACTGGGTAGGGGGTCATGAACAGAGTCCTGAACTCGAGAGGGCAGGGTAGAGTAGTAAGTGGTTGTTAGGCTCCGCGGAATAAGCTACCGATGGGGAGATACGAATGCTATGAGGGGAGAAACACTTGGACTAGCTCGAACCAATCAAGCTAGAGTAGTGTGAAAACACACACAAATTTATGGGAAACTGAGACAGAATTTGGGATCTGGATATTGCGCCTGCGATTCGCGCGCGGTCAGTAGTCTCCGGTGGTTGGTCGGATTTCACGCCGAAGGCGCCCACGATACCGTGTCCCATAGCGCGAGCAACTCATTGATGCGAGCGTGGCTCAACGAGCCCTCAGGGTTCGTGCGCTGACTGGTTGGGTAGTACCATCGATGCTGGCAAGGCCCTGCCGATGACTGAGGCCCTGCGCGCGAGACCACCTTGGATTTTCATCAACCGTAGTGTCACTCTCGTATCGGGAATGCCGATTTTGCACCATTCGTACCCCTTGAAATCTAACCAGTAACTGGTTAGCAGTTTCTTCGCGCCCATGCTGCAAGCACCAGCCGACTGCCCCTATAGCGCGAGCAGCTCTACAGTGAGCATGTCTCAGCTGGTTCCATGGATCGGTGCGCTGGGCAGTCGAGAGGAATCAGCGCCACATCGACAGTACGCGCTCAATCCGCGAGCAGCTCCTCGGGAGCATGACTCAGCCGAAAGGCTGCGGATAGGGTCAACGTCGTGTGGATGGCTATTAATGCAATTGGCGCGCGAAACCTGTAGTATATAGTATATATAGACCTCTTCACTACAGCAGACTTTGTAATTTCTCTCCTCTTGTCATGGGTCGTCAACACCGCGAACTCAGTGCCACTGAGATTCAGGATCGCGTAAAGAAGATTATTGAGCAGGGTGGTGCTCTGCTGCGTGGCCGACAGAATAAGACGGTGCGCGAGTTGGTCGACCAATGGAAAAGAGGGGAAGCCATCAGGCTCGGGAAGTTTATTTATCAGAAAGGCCTCCCGACGAAACCATACGTCAGGGCGGACGCTTCTGTCTTCACTTCAAAGCCTGCTGCCGCAGCAGCAGTGCTGCGTCAGCTTCGAAGCCACCCCCTGCGAATGTGGTATTGTCGGAGCCACCCGCTTGCTCGGCAGAGCCATCTGTCACGCCGGAGAGCTGTATTGGGGTAGAGGGTACCCATAGCAGTGATGCCGCGCAATGTGATGGCGACTCGCCATTAGATTCGCGCGATAGCGGTTACCCGTACGACGTGCTGGGAACTTTAACGGAACCGTCTTGCTCGGCACAATCGTCCCCAGCGAGTACGGTACCCCCAAAAGCTCTCAAACCTGGGGCCTCCCTGTTGGAATGGGCTTCCAAGGGCTCAACAGCCGCTGATATATCTGATGGTGCTTCTCCGTCGCAGCGGGTTATACCGTGGAGCACTCAAGAGACAGTCGGCTGTGGAACTTGTCCCAAGTACCAAGCAGATTACGTTCTTGGGGAAATCACCCGTAAGGCTTCAAGCTCTACCTTTGCAGGATGGATTCGCGTGGACTACCCATCAATGTCTAAAGCACCGGACGTGAGCCGATACTTGCTGCGTGATACCTATATCTTCAACCCTTTGGTCGAGTTCAAAGAGCTGCTGGGAGTCAAGTCCTTGCCCTGTCCAGGGTGTGGAGGGACCCTCACCGTGCAAGGACTGAGTTCCCATGGTCCTCGAATTTGCGTTGATTTTCGCAAAGATTTCTGGGTGTGGCCGGTAACATTGGTGTGTACCGGTCCTTGCGCTAAGGCCCTTACTGACCGGCGCAAGAGGTTCCTCTCTTTGGCGGATGAATTTATGGCAGCTATGCCCGAAGAAGTACTTCGCTCGGTGCCCTTTGTCCCATCGGGCCCTGGCGGGAAGCTATTCTCACGTGAAGTTCTAACGTCGGTCCGACAGATAGCGGGCGGTGGTAACACTCTCGGGCACATCACCCAGCAAATCAATGCGAACCATGTCGAAGATTATCTGGAACGACGTACCCGATACACAGATCACTGCACTGCTAGGCGCTCCTCTCACGGCATGGCCTTCCGGTTGCAGAAGTTTTTCTCCTATCGATCGGGATCCTCCGGTACATCGTGATACACTGCAAAGGCTCTATCTGAGTGACTTCCAACGGCGGGAACCATACTTGCACGGTGCCATGAGCTGTCTGCTGGGGAGGGTGCTGAAGGCCGACCATTCTCACGTTGTGCAACTGCTACATGGTGCTGGTGCTAGCCAGCATTTCAGCGTCATGAACGAGGACTCTCTTATCATTGCTATGGGCGTTTGTGAAGGTGACGGAATAGACGAGTACGAGCAAATGCTTGTTGGGCTGGCGAAGCGTTATCAAGACTCCGCAGTACATCTAGGGGTAGAGGTCAATGACATTCTCCCTCTCTACGTATATGTGGATAAGGATTGCTGCAACGGGTACCTGCCGTCTGGCAGAGATTTCACATCCCACGCCGTTTGCTCTGATCCGCTCGGTCCGAGTGGTCCGTTAACACGTACGGATCGAGCATGGAAGAAGATCAACCCCAAAATCCGCCTTCGCTTGGATGCGTTCCACTTCATGCGTAGATTCGAGTTGGGCGTTACCCACGTGCAGCACGTGTTGTACCCGAAATTTGCATCAGATCTCCGGTACGCTATGTTCTGCAGGCATGAAGGTGACTGGCGGCGACTTGTTGATGCAGCCGTTCGGCATTATGGGAAACAGGGGCTCTCTCGTCACCAGGCTATTCAACGCGTGACTAAGGAGGATGTGCAGAAGTATTGCCGACGTCGAATTCCTCTCGGTGACGAGCTGTTCCGACGAGTGAGAGAAGTTATCGAACGATACGACAAGAAGGAGGTCGATGGTGTGCCATTGTATAACCGCTACATGCCTAAGATCTGGGAACACTTGCAAATTCACATAAGGCGAGGATGCTTGTCAGAACCTGATCCCGTTGAAGACGGCACTCTACCATTATACACCCTGGTCGGTACGGAGTTCTATCGTGGGGACCCCTCTTGCCCACTCGAGGTGTATAGAACGTGTCGATCAACTAGTCAAGTTGAAGCCTACCACCGAGTATTGAAGAGCAACTTCCGTTCAGCTCACTGTGGGATAGAGCTAGGACACGCTCTGATTTGCGACTGTGCGTACCGATATAACTGCTCTCGTATTGCCCACGGTGCTACACAGGCTCGCCGCGTTGTGCGAGGGTCTGCCGAGGACGTGCTCCCTATCCCAGTTATGGACGCTCATTCTATCGCTGTTTTGAACAAGCGGAACTCCTTTCTCTTCGGTTCTGATGCTTACCCGCTGGTTACTCGTGAATATCACGCTGACGATCCCGAGGAAGAGCTTTTTGGCCTTTCGTATACCAGATCTCGTGCAGCCGACGTGAAGAGTGGTACTGCTCCCCAGGAAGACAGCATCTGGGAGGACGCTTTCTGTCAAGCTCTTGAACAAGATGAGGGTACGGCGGGCGAGCTCGACCTGGCCACTCGCGATTTGGATGACACAGTGGCTTCTACTGGGGACTTGGAGTCGATTCTGGAATATCGCTATATCTCAAAGGATTCTGACAAGTCGGATGATGAAGCTGGGCCGGCACAGAAGCGGCTACGGCTCGCGTTCTCCGGTGGAATCGCTAGACCAAGATTGCCCAGCGTCTCGGAGGAGATGTCAGACTTAGTTCTGGAATTGGCTGCTGTTCACGGGAAAGACCTGGGTGCCATATTCAGAGACTACGAAGTGGAGTATCGTAAGAGGAAAGCCCTGGATGCGAGCTGCCAGCTGTATCAAACTTCGAGAGAGCTGATAGGGAGATTCTTGACTGGAGTGAGAAAACGCAGGGCTGCTGCGGAGATTGAAGTCGAAGACCCTCGAGGTCGAGACCGTATGCGGGCGCTGCAAGAACCTACAGTTGATGTTGCTGAAATCCTATTTGAGCCGAATGAAGCCGTCATGCATCCAGGTGTTCGGATCAGCGAACCAGCGGTCGAAGCTGTGCCCACGAATCCCTACTTGGTCCGCGCTAAATCTCTACTTGCGGATCCATCATTGGTCGAAAAGCTTGTGGAGAGCGTCAAATCTGCCACAGGACGCAAACCACCGACATGCACCTGGTGCCAGCTCCCTATTCGAACTGATACACATCCCATGCGAAATCACGCTGGTTTTAGTGGCCCGATGACGAAAACGACCGGTGTTCGCTACTGCCCGGTCAAATATCCCGACTTGGCTGCTTTCGATAAGGAGATTCTACCTACAATGCTCGCGGATAGAGCGGCCAAGAAAGAGAAGTGCTTTCGTTGTGGATTGAGGTATGATGACCCCCAGAGTGAACATCGCTATCACCCTAAGGCGGTGGGTAAGAATAAAGCTCTTTATCGTCACTGCCCTGTTCACGACGCTCCCTTTCAAATATGGTGCGAAAGCGAAGAAGTTGTGAAAAGATTGATGGAGAGTGATAGGGCTAGGTGTCGCCAGGGTTTGCCCACTGGGAAAATGGGAAAATTTTCCCCAGGGAATTTCCGGGAAATATTT